CCCATCCGACCCAGCCAACCACCCCATGAAACCCTCATCCTCTTCATTTTCTACCCTATATTTGGTACCGCCTCGCTGACTGCGCCTTGGATTTGACCTGAGCATCGTTCTCGTTTGACTCGCTATACGTATTCCGGCCTATACGTAAATTCTATCTTCTCTCGACTCCCTCACCCCCTTTCCACCATTTATCTTTATTCTATAAATTATATATATATATTTTCTTGAGAACGAATTTTCACCCCTCTATCTCCTCCTTTCGACAGACTGACTCGTGAGTGAATCAAATCTTTCGATTTATCTAAAGCCCGTTCGAATCCCCCGGATTCCAGGAGCGTTTCGGTGGTGCAGCCAACCCAGCTCCAGTCTCGAGAAGTATTACTTTGGAATTACTCGTCATTTCTTTTTCCCATGCTATTCGGTCGTCCCGTTGCCCCTTTTCTGGTTAGTCGGTACATGGCCTTCACCTCTTGCAAGGATGTGCCGAGGTGCACCGAGTTTATCTTAAAAAAAATATTGCGTGGATGCGCGAACGCGTATTAAAGGAACAGGGTCAGAACGAGGAGGAATATATTATGGTCCTTTTTTCTTTTCGAAAGGGGGTCGAAGTCATTTTGCTGTGTCTTCCTTTCCGTTTTCCCCCCGTTTTTTTTTTCTTCTCCACGCGGGAATATCGATTCGCAATGGCAGCGAGCATATAAATAAGATGAGTTTTCCTGCGTGCACACGCGTCACTACCCACGCCACGTTTTCCCGTTTGGAACACCCCAACCATCCCCCTCTGGCTTCGCCCCCACGCGGGATGGCTGCCTTGCTGGCTGGCATTTACGTCACGGCAGGGGGCTTACTCTGAAACTCGAGGGGGGTTGGCATGGGTGGGTTGACGGGAATGGGGATAGGGGGGGGGGAGGGGGTGCGCGAGTGAGCGAGCACGAGAGAGATGGCCAGGACGAAGGATGGAGATTATCCTGGGGAAGTTTTTGGCTGGGGTAAACTTTCTGCGTACGAACGAAACATCTCCCTCAAAAACCAACCCTCCCAACCACCCACCGACTTCTTCCTATATGCGGCATATCGATTCTAACGTGCCTCGAGACTTCGTACTTGTGTAACACCTTTAGAATGCTCTGGATACAACCAGATCCTATTTCTTTACACCAGGTCGATAATGGCGGCTGTGATAAAAGCTTTTTTTTTATCTTTTTCCGTGTACATAGGCTGTAAACATGATTTCAGTTGGATATAATTTCACGGGGAAAATTCCAGTCTCTTTTTTTTGACTATATGGATTATTGACTTTTTTATATATCGTGATTGGATTTTTAAACGATAAACTCTTTTATTGAAAAATCATGAGGAAGGACTCGTTTAACTTCACCTGCAATTAGTGTTGATGTAAATTTGACGAATTGAACATATTGGTCACTCGGTTACAGGGTATGCTACGTTTCAGATTGAATTTGATCCTATATGGGAATTGAATACTCTAAGGCATTGATGCATCTTTTCAGGAGCGTATATGCACTAGTAAAGTTTGAGGTAGTCGATTCGGTTTTTTGAAATTGAACTGTCGATTAATTGACATCGAGCAAATTTAAATTCTGATAATATGATTAGAGTGAAAAAATTCATAGAAAATTTAAAATCCGTGTGACAATTACATTAATAAAATGTTAAAGTCAAACTGTACGACAATCAACCATCTTTTTAACAGAATATTATGTTTCTATTGTATTTCACGTAATAGCAGCAGAGACATCTTAATATGCTGAAGCATGAAAGAAAGGGAGCTCGATCGAGTCCAGTTCGCGTGGCTGGTCTGAAGTTCGTCTGGGAATACCCGTGCCGAGCATAATGTTCCTAATGAATCCTCAAACTCAGATTAAAACTTTGAAATTGTCGGCAGCAGTCGGCAAGCGCGACACTCGATTCCGTAACAATGCAAACTTCGTTCCTAAGGGACGCTCCACTCATAGGAGGAAAGGAATTGGGGATGGCGTAAGGAGAGTCCTCGAGTCAACTAGGAGTTCCAGAACAAATTATCGAATCTTGGGACACTCGATATCCGGTCACGTTGAGTAATTGGCAAGACTGCAATTTGACTTGTGAAAACAAGATGGCGACGTAGATCGCCAGAAAATTGAATAAAATTCGATACGATTGGCACCGTTTATTTATTCGTTTGTTTTGACTTTCTGCCTTAAAATGTTGTCTACCCGAGTAGATATTCTTTTTTCTCGAATTTTTCAGACTTTCGAGAGCAACCAGTGCCGGGATGAAAGTTAGGGGTTGAAAGTGAAAGAGAGGCGAGCGCACAAGAGGGAAAGAACCAACGAGCCCGCATCTAGGGATTGCTTCCCCTCTATAGACGTTGCAAAAGCCAAAGGGGGTGGTGGTGGGCGTTGGTTGGCGGGGGAGAGACCGAGGGTGGGATTGTGTATTCAAGATAAACCACCCCATCGGCCTGTCACGTGTGCACCGACCATTTTGCTGAAACATAATGTAACTCGAAACGATGTTAAAATATGGCGCAAGGGACGGGGAGTTACACGAGCTGCGTGTATTAAATATGGGACGTAGATGTGACGGTCTTACACGAACTGGTGAAACCTGATGACTTGGGTCTTTAAAAGAAAAAAAAGATTGCACCATTATATCTTCATTAAGACAATCAGAGACTAAGGGATTCCAAATTCCTTCAAATTGGCGTCCCTCTATAAGGGTGTCGTTCCTCAAAAGTATCTTCAACAGTTATCAAATGTCTTCAGACATTTCAAATCTATTCAAGATACGGCATCCCAAGACTAGACTCTTTTATTACTAATCATTATACTATTCCGAAGCAATGATTAGAGTTCTAAACACCCCATCAAAGAATTCAAGAGGAATTTATGTTACTCATTTTATCCTACGTGAAGATTCATTGTATGAATTTAACTTCAGTTATAAATTCGGTAATTGGCTCATTATCAATTGAACGTCACATCACACACAAGGATCACCTGGCGCACGATTGAAAATTGTTCTTTGTAAATATAAAGTGAATCCAAGAAGCGAGCGGTCACTCATGTCGTGAGGTACTGACCACTCGCAGATGCATCCGCTGAACGGGATGCATTCACCCACACAATCCTATGATCACACACGGTAGGACGTATGCACCGACGTAGGTCGTTGTAGCTGGAGGTGGATAGGGAGGTGCTCGTAGGTGGGGCATGTTTCAGCGGAATTCGATAGAGCGAGAAAAGGTATAGAGAACCGTGATGACAATACGCACCTGCTGGCGGGTAAGGCTTCAAAGATGAGTGAAGCGAGTGAGAGTAAGATAAGTTACGTAAGATTGGACTAGGGTAGTTCGCGTTTAAGAAAATTCGTACTGAATCCTCGAGCAGCCCGGTAAAGACTAGCTGACCTAACCCCTTCGTTGCGTTGGAATAATTCTCGTTTTTGTCGACGCCCCACCTTCGGGCCCCTTGACAAAAGGGGCCCGTATAAATACAAATAGCGCGTTTGAACAATGCCACATGGCTGGTAGAGGTGTGCGTCGTTTATTCGTTCTTTTGCTCTCACTCTCTATCCGTCCCTTCAATCTCCACCTATGCCGTTGTCTCTGGATAGAGTCCCCCTCCAATCTCCCACCAGTCTACCTTCAGGGCCCTATCCTCGTGACGAAATCTAAAAGCGGGACCTGGTATGGGACTTCGCGGCATAATTGGCTTTGCGCATCGCATTAGCCTGCGATTTGCATACCCACCTCGAGATCTCGTTCGTCACGCTCAACCCGATTTCGCGGGCTAAACTGATCGCCCGGAATTTTTGAGCCTCAGACCCTCTTGGGTTGCCATTTGAATACACAGAGGATCAGTGAAACGTCGTTGCTCACATGAACTTTGGCATTTGGAAGCTCGATACGAGACAGTGATATTCCGATTTAGGTACACTTGTAAATTTTGGGCCCTACCTTGGGCCCCTTTGCCGGGAACTTTGAAATTAATTCTAAAAGACGAATCGGAACTTGAGGTATCTGTGTATATTAGGAGGATGTGAACCTAGTGGAGTATACTAATATGGGTCCTGTCCATCCGGGGCCAGTCGAATGCGGGCCCGACGATAAAAAGTTCATCCTTAAATTTTTTGCTAGCGCTCGCCCGCCGGTTCGTTTGTTTATAAGCGTGGAAAGGAAGTATGAAAGGTGGAATGAGAGGCGCGTCGCGACGCTCAACGTCCCTCAGAGTCCCTTGTAATAAAAGGAGTATGAGTCCCAAATTGAGAGGGTGTATTTCAGAGGACCAAATATCAAGTGGCAGTAGAGAAAGAGTCCACGAGGAGAATAGCTGAGACCTGTGGGAATTGGGCCTCGACCGTATGCAAATAGTAAGGCTGATGTATATGGGGCTGGCGAAAAAAATGCCAACATTCACATCGGCGCAGCATTGTGCCAGGCTAACCCACAATGGGCCAGTGGCACGAATCTTATGTAAATCGGCCCGTAAGTTTTGAGATCAAAGGATTCTCATGTTTAACCTCACACTCCCTTCCTTATTCTCCGCTTCCTCCTCATCCTCGTCATCTGGATTCTACCTGCTGATGCCTAGACCCCTACTCAACTGTACTGTAGATGCTGTTTATACTTAATTCACAAAGTGGAAGATAGGGAAGATGGTCACTTTTAGGTCAGACTCTTATCTCTTTGTGTCGCTGTAGCGAGAGCTAAGATACGATTACATTAAATTGTAAATGCATTTATTTATCATTGCGAGAGTACATATAAATGGAAATGGCACGATATCTACTATCCAGATATTTTATTCATCTTCTTTTTCTTGATACGCTAGCCTGATGTCCACCGATTCTATGCGTTCCTTGAGTTCATCCAGAACACCCAATTGAATTTGTTCAACATCCTCCTTTGGGCAATAATCATCCTCGGTGGATCTAAAAAATAAATAAATTTCTCATAAACAAAAAAAAAACAGGAAATAAGGTTAAACAAAAAAATATTAATTTCAAATCCATATTAAAGATTTTGGAGTCATTTATGCCTGGGTCTTCATCATCACTGCTAAACTCACTCACTAAACGAAGTGCTAAGCCCATCCGGAGGCGACATCCGGCGGAGCTTCCTCGTCTATTCCGGAACCAGAGGGAGGACTGGGGATGAGGGTGGAATCGATTTTTTTAACAGTTTTTATCAGCCACGACGGTAGATGGCGCCACGTTGACCTTTCACTAACAAAGAACTATCCTGGACGTTAGACTCGTGCGTAAAAGACTTATCATGAGTTTCATCAGCGCTTCCTTTTCATTTCTATCAACTTGCTGGCCATTTTATTTAATTTCATATAAACTGAAAAAAGTTTGGGATTTTGAAAATGTTTTTTTTTCTAAATCGATCACTTTTTTTTATAAAAGAGAAGTCTCAAAAATTTCTTCATACATAGTCTAGAATACCATGGACTTTTTATGTCAGGGAATGAGAACCCAATCGGCGTTTACCGCGACATCTGTCGCACAACGGCAGAAGCTTAGCTAGGGGAAGTTTTGTTCACCCCTCACGCTCTAAAATCCCCCTCAGCAGTAAGGGTGGGGCTTTTAGCGGTGTCCCATCGCCCATGAACCCACCCCTTGGTCCAACCCTCCTTTTTTTTCTTACCACCCCTCAAGGCATATGATCTCCGCCCCTTGCGACATCTCTGACAATTCCCACGAACTATGCACAGCTCAAATCATTTTCCACATTCCTTATTAATAAAATACACGTCACGTGACAGATTTCATATTTGCAACGAATAACTCCCCAGTTCAATAATTTCTCATTTACTAATTGAAACGTATAACCACCAAACAAAACATTTCTAACGTATTCTAATTTTTAACCTAATCGGCGATCAACCATAGTCAAAATAACACTATAATATTCGATCACAATTCATTATTTATTCCTGGCTCACCTGGCTACAGTAACGATTGTCGGAGGTGCCGGAAGTGCTGCCAGGAAGGATCGAAAAGTGCCAGTGATCAATCGATCAAGATCATTGGGCGTGGTCACGTGATGAGGTAGATCAGTATCATCCCTCGTGCAGCCAGCGTCGTGCACGATGCTCCAATCGATTTCAGAGTCCTTATAAACTGCCGTGACTTCACGATGGACCCTGGCGACTGCCTCGTATCTAAAACACGTACAAAGATAACCGCCAATGAGATCTTAGTATCATAAGAACGTTCGACGAATAAGATTAGCGAACTAGTGTGATCAGGATCCGATCGTACGATCGTCCCTTTTCCTTATAAAGAAAAAAGTGCAAGTATATTGCCGAGCTTTACGGGACTTTGATAAACGTCAGGAAGTTTAATGGCGGCGATAACGCCGCGCGGAGCGCAAAACTTCTGAAGGATTTCCTGATGGCACGCGACGTTTGCCAAGTTTGCAGTGCGGTTACTTGGGCCTCATATAATAATTCCAGCCCGGCGCGGCGTTATCCGACTGGTCGATGTCCTTCGTCTCTTCTTTTCTTTTTCGAAACTGAGTTCATTTACCAGAATGCCGTCGTGCCAGAGAGTCGCCGTTTTACATGGGACTGTACCCGAGTATACAGTGTGAGGCGAAGAACGTGAAATTCAGCTAAGTTGCTCTGGGGACGGTTGGGTCCAGTAAGCCCTTGGGATACGAGGCTCGTGAGACGGTGATCCGGTGCGAAGTTTTGGGCCCGGTGGTGCGCGTGCAGGAAAGCACGTCGGGTCTTTATCGCGATTAATCGAAGGATTCGTGTCCGAGCTGGGCCAGCTGGCCCATTTTGTCTTCACTAACGTGTTAACTGGTCGGGGCTCTCGCGCTGAATATTAATTATTCTCTCGCGAGGCCCACCTGCCCTCCTTCGGGACAGGAATTATATCCTGGCAGTTGCGCGGGTAGGTTCAATTAACGGGTTCCGTTATTCTGCTTGAAACGAGAAAGAGTAAAAAAGGAAGTATTTAAGCGACTTTCCTCTTCTCGTTTTCTTACCCCCTATCTCTCTCTCCTTTTCTCTCTTTCCGTCTTTTTTATCCTTTCCTCGCCTTCCTCTTACTTACAGGACACAACTACAGTTACACGCATTCTATGAGTCTCCAGACCATCTTGAGCGCCTATACCAGCGACACTGATCCCTGTAATTTGTTCTGCCCCTTTAAAGACCTTACAAGGGCCCACCACCGAATTACTGGTTATCTGGGACTTGGGTCTTGTCCCAGTGAACCCTACCTCAAATTTCCCTACCTCAAACGCCTGTGCTTCTGTCTTTGTCTCTTTTTTATTTAACTGTATACAACGCATCTTCGCTCCTGCTGATGCGCACTCACAGACCAAGGACACCGGACACTCTATCGGTCCCAAACTAACGAAACATGCGTGACATTTGGCTGGCAGCGGCGTTTGACTCCCGACATAGGGGGTAGGACAAAAAAGTTTGAAGTAAGAGAAGAGTAGGATTGAGGGGAAAAAAAACCTAGAATCAAACCGACCAAGTCCCACGGTTATGCGGACATTATCTAAGTCTGATGGGAGTGGATCCGATCTAACGTGTCAGGAACAATAAGGCCCCGAACCGTTAGTATATTTTTTGAACCATTTTTTTTCTTCTCAACCCCTTCGAAAAAGACAATCGAATCGGAAGTTCAAGCAGTAACAGACATTACGTAAAATAAGGGCCCCGGGTCCAACAAGGGTGCAGAACAGCCCCGGGTGGGGTGGTGGGGGCCCAAAACTAAACTTGGCAAATAAGCGAGCGGCGATGGGCACGAACAATGGCCGGAATCGATGAAAAAACAGAAGGGGACCTCATTACCAGGGAGGGAGTTGGGGAGGGAGAGACCCCCCATTTCCTCTCTGAGGCCCAGTATACTTCTCGATAAGGGGACCCCGTATGCAAATGACGTTCAACTATACGAGTATGCAAGACAGAGCACGAGCGAGTGGGTCTTTCAACAGAAAAGAAAAAAAAAATGGCTCCGCATACATATATAGGTGTGCGAATAATACCTTGCCTCGCAGGGATGCTGGATAGGACGTCTATGTGCCAAGGGGTATAGTATAATGTAACGTAATCAGATGATCAATTATTAAGGCCCCGGCAAAAAACAACGAGGGTTGACAGTCTTCGGGGTTGATCCCGACGTGGATCTACATCAAGGGGAATATTATGTGCCTACGTGCGTTTGCGTTAAAGTTTTACGTTACGTTATGGCGTTTCTATCTGTCGGCATTGCCGCGCTTATATACATATATAATATACGTCTGTATATATATATGCATATATACAGTATGCGCGATCTTGTAGATTTTCACCTCGCGATGCGCACGCATCGTTGCATCATGACCATGAAAAAATTCTTCCACGTGGTAATCGGGCGCATAATCGGATGCATATTAAAAATGGTAACACGAGACACGGGATGCATTATACTATGAGCGGCAAACACTGAATGAAAGTAGCGAGCTTGATTTCTGGCCACGCTTCGTTCTTCTAGCTAACGTGATAGACAATATGGCAGATGTTATCGATATAGGAACGCTCTGAATGGATCGCAGGATACGTGTCACGAATTTACATATGCAAATGTTACAACAAGGTTTTACATTACTGAAATTTCATACTTTGTCTTTTACTCTTTTGGTTGTGCAATTTTAATTTTTTATTTGAAAAATTTAATTTAAATCGCGACACGCTCGCCAATTTAATTGAATTCAGGGAAATTGAGTTAAGTTTCGTGAAAAAGTTTTTATTCGAAATCGCATTTACGTTTCGAGGACAAGTGAACTAAAGTGAAAGGTAGAGGAGATCGTATTTCAAAAAAGAAAAAAGTGAATTGCTACCCCGTGAGCCTTTTTGAATGGCGTCTATGCGTTATTGATGTTCCATTAGTTGGTGTCGTTTACTCAAAAGAGTAGGATATTACCTGTCGCACGGCACGTGCCATTCAAGAAAAATGGATGGTTTCCATGGGGCACAGGTATATAACAGGCTAAAAGGCAGGTATCGAAACTCTAGGGGTGGTTTGGCCCAATCAATAGATATTCATCCCCATCGAACCGTCAAACCATTGACGAATCGGTGCATTCACACAGATGCACCCTGCTATGCAGGTTGCACTGTGCACTGCACCGTGGTCGATGACTTAATCGTATCGGTTTGCCCTTTTCTACAGGGTTTTTCATTTCAATTTTATTCGGCCTCTTTAAACCTGTCCCTCGTTGGTTTCCATCAATCCACCCTTAACTACGGGCCCATTGAAACCATGATAGCTGCACTATTAAAAATCTTTCTAAAGATAAATTTTTTTTTACAGTATACCAAAACCTGTTATTTTTAGGGTTGGTATTAGATTGCGAGGGAAATTAATTCATAATTACGGATTAAGGCGAATTTTAACTTAGTATACCGACTGGACGTGTTTTCAAGGTTGGGAAACCAGTGCGGGACCGGTTCGCCGTGAAATATTTCACAAACGAGACATAACCTCAATCTCGCCGAGGAACCCCAAGGTATCTCACAGTCTGGTAAATACGGTTAATTGATAAATATTAATCCGAGTCAAAGCAATGCCGGGGGTTGGTTTCTCCGGAGTAGTACCACGCTAAGGGTGAGAATATACCTACAGGGTTGAATTGTCCCGCTGCGTCAGATTTGCATGCGCCACCGTCGACTTAATTAGGTTACGCAGAAAACGGTCTCGCAGTTCACACACTTCATTAGTAATTCCTGAAGGGGCTGTTTGTCGCACAAGGTGTAGCCGCCTATTTCTGGACGACGGCAAGGGGTGACTTACTTTGGATATTAGTAATCTACCAATGGCATTCGTAGGATTTTTTTTTAATTTTATAACAATCATTCACCCCTATTGAGCCACCACGGAGCGTCACTGTATTACATACAGACTGTAATTCCGGTTTCGTCTTCCCCGCTTCCCATTGTAGATGACTGGTATTCACGAAGTTCAGTTATTTTTTTTAGACGGCAGCACCGGGGTAACGCAAGTAAGACGAGTAACGTCGCGGTTTAGGACGGATGCTTTAACAAGTCGAAGCGAAGGTCTGGCATCGCAGGAAAGATGCCGCAGGCCCCGACGATGCACGGACAATAAGCGAAGCCCTCTTATTGTACCTCAGGTCGGTAGCGTTGTACTACGTTGTATCGCGCTGTATCGCATTGTATGCCATTGTATAGTGTACGGGCATGTGTAATGGGGCCCGTAGCAGCGCTCTAATTATGACGCCTCGCGCACTTCAGTCACGCAGCGCGAGGGAAGAACAAGGACTCCGGCAGTGCTGCCAACTCATACTGCCGGTACTGTGTCTGCTTGTCGCTGTTGGTGCCGCAGGAGAAAATAAAAGGAAACCTGAAATAATCAGTGTACAGTTCTCGGAGGGCGACCTATGCAAATGTAGTCTAACCCCCAGGAACACTTCTGGACCTAGATCAGCTGTCTTAAAGGACTTCTGCAAAGTTTCTCGAAGACTGCCTCCACTTTTTTTTTCGTCCCTTTGTTCTCTCTTGTCACAGCTGCCTATGCTAATTCGTAAATTCACGAGTGAGCATTCGTTAAACCGGTATCCTCAATTTTTTTTTCACCCCCACTGACAGCTCACGTCCTGGGAATGAGATCGCTTGGGACCACTGTGAACTTGTACCTCAGCATAGTAGGCCTCGTATTAAGCCGCGATGAAGTCTGTATCAGGGGCCAAGTTGTTAATAGGTATATTATCAAAAGTGTCCTTGGTGAATTGGTAATACTCGTGGTTACTGATAAGATCCTGAAGCCTTTATAATGCCCAGGACTTGGGGTGAGGGTATCCCCTAATGAGATAATTAGTCAGCGGTGAGACGCGAGAATGACTCGAAGGATCAGAAATAAATTAGTGCAATTAGGATCCTTCTGCCGGTGGAACGACAGAGGGTGGTTTGGTGATTCCAGCGTTTAATGCTTTTTAGCCTTCGACGAAGGGGTTGCCTCCCCAAAGACCCTTTTTCGTCTGCTTCTTATCCTTTTGAGGGATTTCCCACCAGGCGGCACTATCGGCTCCCTGATTAACCGCCAACCGTCTTCAATTATATTACTGCTACTCGCTTATTATCGATCTGCAGAATTGACTCGATTTGTCCAATTAAATTATCCTTAACCGAAATTACTATTGAGTTCCTTGTCGCCCCAGGATGTGCTCTTTTAATATGCTAAATACCTTAGACGTCCTGCAGGTTCCAGAGGGATATGCGTGTCACTATAGGGAGAACAAGAAGCATTATAGAATTAGGTCTTACCCTTTCGTGAAACGTTCTTGCTGTTTCTCGACGCCTTCCAGATTGGGCCTTAAGAGGGGCCTTATATGCTAGCCGTATACCGGATCCTTCCCTATATAATTAGCGAAGCGATTCGCGCACCGATAAATAGGCCCGAATTACATCGAGTCTAGACTGGGCCCTGAATGGATGGCCCAGTCTTCTTTTGAAGATGCACGTACGCCATTGTATTTATTTTGGGCCATGTCCCACGTGATCTCGCATATTCATACAAACGGCATTTCATTCACTCACGTTCACCTACCCAAAGTACGGGATTAGTCTTCCGCTTGTGATTTCTATTCAGTGATGAATCTAATACAGACCCGGGCGTGAGTATGCGAATGAATATTTCTGACGGCTAGGTCCTATCCGATACGACGAAGTTTTTATTTGTATGGACACAATCTGGAAGACCAAGGCAAGTTCCCAAGACGTTTCTGATCAGGAAGAGGGAGTTGAAGAAAAAAAAAAAGGAAAGAGATACCGAAACATCGCATCACTTAAGAGAAAGTAAAAGTACGCGAGAAAAAGGCTAATGCGGATGCTGTATCGAGTTTCTGTAGCCGGAATAAGGGCAGGGAGTAATTTAAATTGGGTCCACATGTAAATGAGATGGATCCCCTGCGTCCGGCCCTGGGACCTTAAGGCGGCTGCTACATAGGACCCATTACGCGAACCGGCCCCGGAACGAGAAAAAACGACACATTGTCTGATGCGATATATGTATGTATGCGGATAGGGTCGCGCCGTGGGACTAGAACAAAGCGGACCGATAAAAACTGGGCATGAATCCGGGCCCCGCCTGCCAACCCGGAGTAGGGGTCCTGCTCCAGCACTCGCTGCTCCTGAGAACCAGTACCATTCTCATAACACGTTTCACTCTTGGTTATTCCGTCACGGAGTTTTCAGAGACTGTCAGCCAGTTGGTGCTCAACTGGTTTTCGGTGACTGGTGAGTTGTGACAAGTTTCATCTTCATGTACCCTGTGTTCTCTTATCATCCAAACTGAACATTTTACGAAGTATAAAGGAACTAGTGAAACTTTACCATTTCGAATTTGCCGCCATTATAACTATATTCTGAAACGCCTGTTTAGACTGAAAGTTTTAGAAGCTCCATCTACTTAATTTAAATATGTCGGCCGTCTTGTAACGTTTAATCACATTTCTTCTGATTCACTAGATCTTGATTATCTGAAAGTCTCGTCGGTGCATCTTGTAAGTGAAACCATAAACTGATTCGCGTGCCGCTCATAGTATGTAAATTGATGCACCTTGTTCTAGTCTGATCAGGACGATGTATACGAGATCTCATCACAGCTCGCAGTAGCTTAAACTTGTATATCTACAATTCGGTAGCGCCACTCGTATCCCACGGTTCTCGCGTTTTGATGTTCAGGATGAAACTGGATTTCCTTCCTTTCACTCTTTAGAATTCCAACCTCCTTCTCCACCTCCATCCATCCCCATCCAAAGTATTTGCATGAGTGTTCGTCCATAGTCCGGCCAACCGAAAGGACCAGTTCTGCCTGAGCTCGTGACCAGTTAACCCGTTCCTCGTGACTCTCTACCCGAAGTTCCTCCAACTTCAGGAACAGTTGGTTCAGAGTATTCAATGAGTTAATTGGCTGTTGTAATAAGACGATAGAAGTTTAGGTATACATACCTATGAGGTCCGGAATAGTTCATGAGCTTACGATTGGTCAACCAGTTGTTGTGATTTGAATTAAAAGTTGGTTTACTGTCGATCAATTGACCTGCCTCGCAGTTGAGTCTCAAAAACTAGTGAAAACTGTTCGACGTCTGGCGATTCGGTAACCAGTTGTTAAAATTTTGTACTCGATGCTCTTACAACTTTGGGATCAGTTCCACGTGCACCGGGGAGCCGCTAGCTGGTTCACGGAGTTCAACGCATGAAGTTGATAGATTGAACTGTGCACGTGACCAATTAGCTGGTTCACGTAACTTTACCTGGTTTTTCAGCCTCGGATCAGACCTTGTTGATGTTTCCATTGATTAAGTGGTTTTCGCAATCGAATCGAACTTCAGACTTCTTTAAGAGCTTGAAGTTTTATCTAGATCAGTGATACATAAATCATCAGTGAGATATGACGAACAATGACAAGACATAAACCAATCGTTAATTCGCAATAGTGCCTATATAGCAAAATGTGTATGATACAATTAAACAAAATCCAAATTGCGAGTTTTTCGTCGTATAAAAAAAAAATTCCCTAGCGCTTCAAGATGGCCGACGTCCCCCATTCGGCAATGGCCGTACTTGCACGGGGGTGTGCAACTCTCTCCCCCATAGCACACGCACACTTTTCCAACTGTATTCTCACCCCCTCATCTCTACTACCCTCTTTCTCATACTCTCAACCCCTCTTTCACGGAGTAAAAGACTCGACATGGGGTGGCCGTAGTGGGCTGCCTTTCCGCGTGCCGGATAAGGTGTCTACCGCGGCTTTCGAACGGCCGCCGATCAATACGATCCGCCGAAAAAAATACCGGGCCTACTTTTGCCTCGCGTGAACTCGGAACCCGAGTCTCGCCAGCCCTGACGTGTGCTCGCGTCCCAAGCTATATGTACAAACCATTAGCAACAAACTTCCCGACTGCGCGAACTTCGGCAAGATACACATCGCGGGCCCGGCCGATTTATCGTGCATATTTCCAAGGGACGTTGGAAAAGGAGGAATGGGGAGGGGCGGGGGGGAAGGGAAAAGAGAAAATAATGATTACTGATAATTGCACAAGAATACATACAGCGGCATAGACTTTCTCGTATGGATCGGTTAGGTATAAGCAAGGTGAGGTTAGGGAAATGAGAGGGTCGAGGAGAATGATGAAAAAGCTTCCTTGCGTCACTGTCAGCCACTACACCCCTACTTTCTCCCGCATCTTCCCGGGCTTACCCCGTACTTATTCCCGTAACGCCCC